GCAGGAGAACGAGCCGACGGGCCCAAAGACACAGGAGCCGTGTTTTACGAGTTTGTGGCCGAAGGAAGTCAGACTTCTTCCTTGTCCTAGGGTTTAATCTTGTCTATTCTAAGCTTCTCATGCAATTTACTGACGTGAAGGATGATAAAAATTTACGGATATTTACGGTATCTTGGGTCTTTTCATGTCAATTCGAAGGTGGACAATGAGAGGGTCGCTGTGCACTGATTCCAAGAGAGGTCCAATGTCCTTTGAAAGAGTTGCTTTATTTGTCATAGATGTGGAAGTGTGGAATACGCAGACAACCCACAGTTATCTAGATGACATTAGCTTGCTATGTGGAGAGTAAGCCGTTTGTGCTACTTCTAGACATGGGCTCTCTCGCTAGTCCGATTTCTGCAGGAGAACGAGCCGACGGGCCCGAAGACACAGGGGCTGCGTCTTAAGAGTTTATGTTTTCCTTGTCTCACTCCCCCGAGTGTATGTTTTTCTTAACTTTGTACTTTTACAGTGGACCTAGTACCTAGTTTGTTCGTTTGGCAGAAGGGCAAGCTGCTGTATGTATGTCATCAGTGTTTTGTGCTTTCCAAGAAGTTGGATGTTGCAGAGCCTCCATTTTGTACCGCTTTCCTGTGTATGGGCATGTGATAAGATCTATTTCCCAGTCCATATGTATTGCATACTCTAATTCTGCCAACGTTGACCCCTAAACCGCCCCAATGTAGGTAAATATGTCATACATGGAGTGTTTGGGCTTGTTAACAAAAGTTGCCAAACGAACAAGACCACCGGAACATGCAGAGACAGATCGCGCGCGTTCGAGCATTCTCGAAGGAGACAGAGACGCCACAGGTGGAAGACAAAGACGCTGGAACGAACGAGGTTAGGGGACCGCCACACCTTTTGGCCGTTTTAAAATAAACCAGTTGTGATCAACTGTTTTTTATTGCTGTTCTTGTTCACCTTTAGGTGTCTATCACACCCTTTCGCAACGGTTCGCAACTGTTTTGACCTGAGACGAACAGCTGTTTTGATACCTATAGTCGATCCGATCCATCAGACTCACTGACCACACAAAGGTATTATAGTATCAAAACACATCAAAACACATCTTGACACAAAACCCATGTTTAAGTGACATCGCCGACCGTACACCGCATTTCCTTTGAACTTGTATCATGCAATCCCAATATTGACATGCACCACGTATACACAGCGGTCCTCTCCCTTCAGCGGTCCGAAAAAAGGCGAACGGTGGCCACGCACCCGTCCCGGTTCTCGTCGGAGGCGCCTTTGCAGCGCTCCCCGGATTTGGTCGAAGACGACGATGCGGAGAACGCGGCCAAGGACGGGATCGAGGGCGATCGGTCGAGCAATCGAAGAAGCAAACCGTTTTTTGGGAAGCGAGACTTGTAGCGATGGATAGCGATCAGGATATCATTTGGACCCTCTCGGGATCGCTATAGTTGTATTTGAATGTTGGGAAAAGGATGGAAAAGGCGCGCCCAGGTGATGGGGGGGCCTCAAGGTGATAGATGGTGATCGTAATCGAGCCAAGGTCTGGGTTGGCTGCCAAGTGGTGCAGAAGTGTGCTCCGGGTGAAAGCCAGAAACATCAAGAAACCAGTGAGTCAGGAGACTCTGGGTGATGCGCAGCACATAATCAAACATATACACCCCAGTGAATCGCAGCCATTCAGAATCCGGGTTAACGTTCCAAGATCCAGGAGTCACAGTGTCACAGTGGTGATCAGTGGTGATGATCAGATCGGATTGGTCCACGCTGGTCAGAATCTATCACCCCAAACGACATCGCACCAGGGGGCCCCTCATAGACAGGGGCCCTTGACGACGCGCGCCGACCGGACGTCCGTCGGTGGGGTCACGAGTGTGCGGATCCGGTAGCTTGGGGTCATTGGGCCTAGCTGGGGTTTGGACTGAGCTCCTTTGTTTGGGCCTGTGACGTTTACTGGGTGGGAACAGTTGATGCATTTCTTTTGGGAGATGCTGATTAACCATTTGTTTTGGGAGATTCGTGTATCCAAAAGGGTACCCAAAAAGGAACGATGTTGCACATGCTTGCTGATGCACAGCATGTTACTGTTACCTTGCACCACCCAAAATGAGCAGAATAGACTACCCCCCAGGTTCACCTACCCTGGGGTTTTGACCCACTGCCCACCTCGCAGCCCTCCAGGATTTGGCATCCTCGTGCCCGCGCCATGGGGATCCCAAGGGCTACGAGCTGGTGGCGAAAGGCTTTTGGAGTCCACGCTCCATCTTGGCCATCAACGCCAGCCTCTCGCAGTGTGCGCAGCTCTGTCGAAGAAGCTTGGACAGAAGTTGATGCGTCAAGTTCTAGGGTTTTGGAACCCAACAGCTTCAGGAAAAGCTGGGTATAGCCATAGCGTTCTTGGTGCTGTGTATATAGATGAATCCTAAGAAGCTTTGGAAGATTCATCTCAATTACCCAGCCAGCAGGACAACAGACAGAGTTGGCGAATAGACAGAGCCTCTGGAGCCTCGAACCATTGGGATCAGGAGATATCAGCAGGATCTGTATTTTGCATGGAGAACGGCCTTCCTCGCCGCGGGGACTGGCCGAATATCTTCTGAAGAGACAAAGGCCA